ACAGTATGGAATTTCAATCCTTGGTTTCAACCCACTCTAACATCGGCTCTGAATCTTCGTTATAGAATTGGAGGTCGATGAGATCAATCTCTAATTTATCTGGTTCCTTGTCCAGCTTAGCACATCGCAACCTTGGCCGTACGTTATAGTGGACATAGCCCATTTTTTCATCTTTTTGGTCGCCTTCTCCAAATAAGCCCATGCAATATCTATATTTCGGTGTCATTCTTTTACAAAGTGATAGGCTGATGGACTATTCCTAGTATAATCGATAGTCAAGGTGTGAGGAGTCAATGGTTGTTGTCCTGTAATGATCTCGAAGGGACTCTTATTGGACGCAGAGGTCCGCTGCAAGTTGTAGGAGAATTGGGCTATGTCTAATAGCTGTACCTAATCTCGTTGGTTGGCACTCATGTAGTGCCAAAGATATTGCTCAATGAGCGAGTTTATCCTTTCAGTTTGGCCATCCATTTGGGGTTGGAGGTTTGTAAAGAAATATAACTTAGACCCCAACAATTTGAATAGCTCAGTCCAGAATCGTCTCAGGAACCGAGCGTCTTGATCACTGATGAGATTGTATGGGACTCCCTAATACTTCACCATATTCTTCATCATCAACTTGGCTGCCTCCTCTACTGAATATTGTAGGGGTGCAACAATAAATGTTGCATACTTCGAAAATCGATCAACCACCACAAGTATCGATCTGAGTCCCCTTACTACCGGTAAACTTGATATAAAGTTCAAGGAAATGCTCTCCCACGACCTTTTGGTATGGGCAATGACTCCAAAAGTCCCACTGGCTTCCGCTGCTCCACCTTGTCTTGTTGGTAACTGCTCATCGGGTGTCAGGCCCGAAGGCAAGTTCTCGTCAAGTTAACGTGCGAACTTGTGAAGAGTGTTTAATGCCCGATACTACCTCGAAACTCCATCCCCCTTGATGCCACCCAGGGGTTCCAAGGTGCTGGAATGGCTGGTGTTTTGTGTGCAGCTGTGGTCTGCAGAAAACAGGGTCGTGACACGTAAAAACGGAGCCATTTTGGGGTAGTTTTACTCGGCACAGTGAGCGGTCGCACTGTAGCGCTGCAACCTGTTCGAGTTTATATTTTTATAAGCAAAATACACAAAACTAAGGTAAAACATGCTGCCAAGCATCTGTATAAGTATGCAAAAACGACGAATGGTTCGTTGAACGAAGTTGTTGTGGGTGCGCGACAACCGTTCGTGACAAAAGGTTAAAAAGTACTGGGCCTGGATCTAATCTGAAATAGCACATTGTTCCTTGTTTATAATTAATTTTTATTATTCTTTAAATGGAACACCAGAATTTGTTATTCCAGGTTCTCTCTGCACTGATTTGGTTGCTCTATATTGCTGATCTCTTTTTTATATTTTTCTACAAATTTGCTTAACAATATTTTTGGGCATGTAGGATCCTTGCCGTCCAGGCGTAAAAGATGCTGTAAATTTATGCACTACTGCCGGTGTCAAGGTATCCCTTCCAATATGATGCATAAATTGTATATACAATACATATTCTAGAAATATCTGGTTGGGATCTTTTATCACACTTTTTGTAGAAGAATAATTCATCATAATGTTGTTCCAGTACTTAATTGGTTGTGCCCACCTGTCAATTTGGAAAAGTGAAGAACATATGGCTGGTCTTAATAAATCATTTCATTTTGGTTATAATAGGGATATTCCTCTACTAAGATCTCAATGGTGAGCCCATATAACCAATTCTAAATTGTTTGGATCTTTTATGTCACATGCACCATTCATTCGTGAATTGAAGTCTACTTATCTAACCTTTTTAACAATTACACTCCTCAAATTTGGAGATTATAGATCTTACTGGTTTTCTTGATTTGCATTTATAATTTGTATCATTATCAGCTTTTGATGCTATTCCCATTATCTCTTGATTACTAGGTACGCATGGTCACCGGTGATAATATTCAGACAGCTAAGGCCATCGCTTTGGAGTGTGGAATACTTGATACCAGTGAAGATCTTACTGAGCCAACCATTATAGAGGGCAGAGCATTCCGTGCCCTTTCTGAAACAGCAAGAGAAGCAATTGCGGAGAAAATTTCTGTATGTCTAATTACTAAGTTTAGTAAGTAGTTTGATGTGTTTGAAATGCTGACTTATAAATGTAGAAAACCTGCAAGTGTTATCTTCTAAAAAAGACATTGATTTTTTCAATTGATAAGCACCTTCATAAGTGACAATAAACATACTCCTTAGACTTTTTATAGTCAGGACATAATCACCTCTTAAAATTTGATTGAGAAAGGCTTTAACTCTTTAATAGCATTGCTTTACGTCCAATATTTGAATTTGGTTTAGACTTTACTTTAGGTCTAATAGTTTGAATTTGGCTAGAACTTTAGAGTTGAGTTAAAAAAAAAACTCTTGCTCTTTACTCTTTCATCACGAAAATTTTGGATTTATGGAACTTGTTCTAAATTTCTTTTAGCTGAACTACTTCTTGGTCTATAATTATGCTGATTTTTGCACAATTATTACACAACATTCTAATTACACAACATTATTATACTCTTTCATCACGAATATTGCACAACTGGATCCTTGTAAGTAAATAATGCAGTAAAAGCTTTATGATCAACCCTCAATCAGATCCATTCTAATTGGTGATAAAGTTGGCAAATATCAAGAAATATAGTTTGAAAAATGTAAACAAATTTAATTTCTAAATTGTAAATTATGTGATCAAGTTGGATGACATCCAATCTGCAGTCTTCTATAGTTTTGTGTTACACTGCATAGTTATATAATCTGTAATATATGTAGTCTGGTACTAGGAAATAAAATAGATGGTGAAATATTTGAATATTATTTCCTGTCATTAGTTTAAGATCTGACTATTGCTCATAATCAGACTTCTAGTGTTGACAAAATATGACATCAAGACAGACACATGAAAAACTATATTAAAATGCTAGTGTCCTTGTTAACCGAACATGACATTACATGTTAAGAAGTGGTGCTTATAGAATTTATGAGTGTGATCCTTTTTATTTACTTTTGTTTGATCTGTTATTTCCCATTTTCCATTCATATGTTTTGAAGCTTTCTGATGTTTTAGTTTGGAAAGAAATTGGAAAAGATCTCAGGATCCTGATATTATCCACCTATATCCCTCTGTATTTTGTTTCGCAATCAGAATGCCTACTATGCTTTAAGATACAATTACTTTGTTCACCTGCTACGCCTTTACAAGAATTCCATGATGCTTGATAACAATTTAGTCTCTTGAACTCTTTTCCAAATACTCGTTAGTGAATCTTACTTGCACTGAATGTCTTAAAAAAGATGTGAGGTGTTTAAGTGATTTGGTTTTGGCTTGAAATTTCTAAGCATGGCCTAGGAAAATAGAAATGTGAAACCAAGCTTATAAATACCAATTAGACTTTAGCATACCATCCAGTATTAATACTTTATTATTTACACATACAAGGTTTTAAAAATCAAAAAGGTTTTTTATTATTTTATTTAATGATAATGAGTGGTATATAATATATATTGATACAGCACCCAGGATATCACTATCGTGTCAGTTTGATAGGTTACCAAAATCAGTATTGGATTGGTGTTAAAAACCTCGTGAAACCTTAAAAACATAGAAGTGTTATCATTTCAGACATTTCTATCCACCATTAAAAATACAAATTTAAAAAAGCAAGATTATGCGCTGTGTGCATTTGAGGACGGTCAGTTTACAGATAGATGATAACTAACATGTTATGGACCTTAGAATAAATTCTGCTTTTGCATTTGTCAGTCTTTTGTCACCAAGATCTTTGCATGTCATTGTATAGACATAAATCGTGTGGATTATGATCCTATCCTCTCCATATCTAATTGCACATATGTAACTCATTGTTATCTGTGACAATAGCAATATTGTCCATATCTGAAGATTATTAAAGTATCATTTTTGCATTTCCTATCTCAAATGGAAGGAAACACGATATAGTATAGATACGTTTTGCTTGTGCAATCTATGTATTTTCTGCTGACATGCTTACTTCATACAGGTCAACCTTCTTATCTCCAGATTAATGCACATTTAGTTATTCCGGATTTCTGGTGATTATATTCAAATCTGTATGTTCAATTCTGTAAGTTATTTGCAGGTAATGGGAAGATCCTCACCAAATGACAAACTTCTACTTGTCCAAGCATTACGGAAAAAAGGACATGTGGTTGCAGTTACTGGGGATGGCACTAATGATGCTCCAGCACTACATGAGGTGTGAGATCTGCTTGCAGATTACTTTTTCTAACACCCTATATGTTAAATATAAAATTACCATGTAGATATATCATACAAGCTTTTCATTTTCTTCTTTAGGCAGATATAGGCCTTTCAATGGGTATTCAGGGGACAGAAGTTGCAAAAGAGAGCTCAGACATCATAATATTAGATGACAACTTTGCATCTGTTGTAAAGGTTAGCCTGAATTCTTGAGACATCATTTTTTGTGATTAATTTTGGATTTTTGGTTCAGTATGTTGAAGTCCATATATATTATTTTTTTTAGGTTGTCCGGTGGGGCCGTTCTGTATATGCAAACATTCAGAAGTTTATTCAATTCCAGCTAACTGTCAATGTTGCAGCACTTGTTATAAATGTGGTGGCTGCAGTTTCATCTGGAGACGTGCCTCTAAATGCCGTTCAGGTTAATTACAAATTTCCTTTCCTAGTTTTCTAACTTTAGGATTATGTAAGGCCAACACTAACTTAATACTTGCCAGCTACAAATGCTTATGATTACCCAATCATTCTTCTTTAACATGATCAAAGGAAATCAAATTCTATATGTAAACTGATCTTTGCTTTTAGAGGAATGAAATAACCACAATGAGCAATTCAGGTTGTTATGCGGTCTTGCTAATGGCTTCTTTAGTCTCTTTGATTATGAGAAACTATTATTATGGCAAAGGAAACCCGTTGGTTCTTTTCAAATGCCCAAAATTTTTAACCCATTCTGGTGTCCAACAGCTTCTCTGGGTCAACCTAATTATGGACACTCTTGGAGCATTAGCACTAGCAACGGAACCACCCACTGACAAACTTATGAAAAGATCTCCTGTTGGCCGCAGGTCAGAATCAATCTTGCTTTATTAGCATTTTTGCAGTGTCAATGTACTTGTTACAGGCTATTAAAACGCTTTCGTCTTTAGTTATTCATGATTAGTGTCATTAAACATTGCAGTGTTCTTTATCTAAACATTTCTCCTGGATGTCAGAATTTGTTGTTGCTTATGTGCTTTCCATTTCAAGTGAAAACTGAATGGAAATACACGAAAATGATTTTAGAATGTAATGCACATAATATAGTCAATGATGCATCAAGAATCATCTGGGTTGGTCTGTGAACACCAATACACCAATCATCAACAGCTACCTTGAAGTTACTTTTGCTATTATGCCTTATTCATAACACAATCTTTGTTCTTCCGATTCTTTGCAAATGTTGGAACCGATGCAAGCACCCCATGTTTTGAATCTTTTTGTGATCATTATTGGTCTGTCAATATGTTCACTGTTCTTGGCATTATTAATTTGAGTAAGTGATTAACTTTTTGACTTAGCTACCCGCCCAAGTTGTCAAGCAAGCCTTTTGTGATTAACATAGCTACCTGCCCACTGATTGTCCCTGAAAAGGAATCTGCAATTTCCTTTTGTTGGTTTTAGTCCACATATGGATGGTATTGGATGAATGACATAGCCTTTTCTTCACATTCCACATCGTAGATCAATAATTTGAAAAGACAAATCCAGACCTCTTAATTGTGATTTTTTTTTTCTCTACTAGTAAACATGAGAGTATATGGAGATTCCTTGGCCTGTGGTCACCAAAGTATCTAGGGGATATGAACAATCATTTTTTCTCTTTCATGGTCTAACCAATTCTTGAGGATTTCATGTCCTCACCTCTAGTTTGTCCATATCGATTTCTTACCCCTTTATAAACAACCAAATTAAGGTGGTGATGGAAGCACGCTGCACCCTCTTGGCTCTAAAGGACTCCAATGGTGATGACATTTGTTTTCTAGATGACAATTAATTAGTTGAAATATCACCGGCTAATGTTTGTTAATTTGCATTGGCATCTGGAAATTTTTGTTATCCTGTTTTATAGTCCATCATGTGAATCGTTATTGCACCATTCCTTTTTTTTTTTTGTGTAAGTAGAGTTATTTTAAATGATATATCTTTTGCTTTGTCATTATTCGTAGGGAACCTCTGATTACAAATATTATGTGGAGAAATTTGTTCGTACAGGTATGTCTTATAACAACATTGTTCTTTTCACCTTCCTTACCCCATCTTCTCCACACACCTTTCTTGTGAGCTGCAGGCTTTATATCAAGTGGCAATCTTGCTCATTTTCAACTTTGGTGGAAGGAGTATACTGCACTTGAAGCATGAAACTTTGGAACATGCTGAAAAAGTGAAGAATACCTTTGTTTTCAATACATTTGTGTTCTGCCAAGTAAGTATGTTTTAGCTTACAAGCTGAAACAACATTTATGAGCAACTGATGTCAGCTTTGGTGCTGCTTAAGACTATTCGTTATCGCCTTCTTTGAGATATTTGTATTATTATTTGGTTATTATTTTTTTTTTCTAAGATTAACTTATAAACTATAATCTACTGCTTTTATTTCTCAAACGAATTCTGATTCAGATTATGCTCTCGTCCGTTGTATTCTGAATGACATGCAACAGATATTCAATGAATTCAATGCCCGCAAACCGGATGAGATAAATATACTCCGAGGGGTGACCAAGAGCCCTTTCTTTATGGTGATAATAGGAACCACCTTCCTCCTTCAGGTAAGAAGACTTGTAGTGGACTCTCTGTATCAAGGGACTGGAAGCGAACCTTCCGGTACTGCTTATCGTTTGCCAACTGCACTGCACTGCACTGCTCCTTGATGCAGGTTCTTATTGTCGAGTTCCTTGGGAAGTTCACATCGACTGTCAGGCTCGATCCGAAGCTGTGGCTGGTCTCGGTAGCGATCGCTCTTGTAAGGTACTGTGTGACGCTCCTTCATAAACTAAGTCGATCTGGATTTTGCCATGTTGCTCGCCATTCGATTAGTACTTGTTGATCTATCCGGAAATAAGAATGGGTTTGGCTTCTTCCGATGCTTTTTTTTTCTTCTTTTTTTCAGTTGGCCTTTGGCAGTCCTTGGAAAGCTCATCCCGGTTCCTGAGATTCCTCTTGGGGTGTACCTTGCAAGAATTTTTTGCAGGAGAAGCTCACGCTGAGGTGACAGTTTCTGGTTCTCCTAAAAGAATATTAGCTGCATGCCGGCAACAGCTTTTACCTATTTGTGATGGTTTCTCATGTTGCAGATGCAGCAAACAAGGCAAGGAGAAGCGGGGTTGGTGAAACAGACGGACACTGCTGCCTCCCGGATGTCTTGCCACCGTACGTCGATTGCCAACTGGATGTATGGATGATGGATTCAAGTGAAATCGTAGTCTGTCTACTCGATTGTGGCCGTGATGGCGGGCGGCCACAGCAAGTGCTAATTCCTATGGAAAATAATGTCTTGTTTCTCAAGAAATATCGTCTTCTGTTTTCACCCAAGAAACAATTCATATCATAGCCTAGTCCTTTCTAGTGCAGTAAATTATCAAAGGCCACCACCCACCGAGGCAGAGGTTCTTGGCTACTAAACTTCAAGTTTTAATTGGTTTTTATTTGGTACGTTGAGTGGATGGATAATTATGCAGGCAGATTATTACAGGCTCCTCACTCGAACAAATCGTTGACCTCAAGTTTGACGCGTATTATGTGTGAAGATGGGGGGTTTGGAGTTTCTTTGCATGTTGTAGGACGTGTATTATGTATGTATGATGAAGATGTGCTTAGTTAATGATGTAATTTAAACATATTTTCGATCTGTACATGTCCACAATCGTTAATTGGAATTCTAAAATGCCAACATAGATTCTATTATAAATTATTTATTATATTATCGTAAATTGCATACATAAAACTTTGTGGAGGGCTATACGCTATATGTACAATCATCGACAGTCTCGAATTATAATGATAATAACAACAGTAGTGGTACTAGTACGTAGAGGAGCAAGTGTTGGGCTGTTCAGTATGGCCGGGCTCCGACGTAGTTTCCGGGCGGGTCGTACTCGCAGACGATGAAGGTGTCGCCGCTGTTGCAAATGATCTTGGCGCAGCCGAGGCGCTGCGTGGTGCGCCACACGATCTGGGTGTAGTGGGTACACTCGGGGCCGGAGCAGGAGTTGGTGTCGTGATGATACCACTGCTTCTCCTCCACCCACTTGCCCACCGCGTCCGGTATCGCCCACCGCCGCCCCTGCCCCCAGAAGATGTTCTCCCCGTAGGCGTACCCTGGGGAGTGCACCAGCTCGCAGTCTTTCCGCCGCTGGTTGGCGTACGCCTTGGCGAACCTCACCAGCTTCGCGTCCCACGTCAGCGGCGGCACGCCCACCTCCCGCCTCGCCGCGTTGTGCGCCGCCACGAACTCCGCCACCGCGGCCGCCGGGCTAACGCGGCTCGACTTAACGACAGCACCCTCGGTGGTCGCGTTCCGAGCGGAGGCAACGCAAAGCGTCGCTGCGCCGATGAGGAGTTGAAGCAGGACGAAGGATGAGAAGGAGGCCATATCGATCTCTTCTTCGGCTGCTGGTTATGAACGTAAAGAGAAGAGGAATGAGAAAGCCTCATCCACAAGCGCATATATATATATGCACATGAACATATGGTTATCAGCTTTAGTCTTCGGTCTTACGCCTTCCGTGAGGGACGGCTTAGATTTTGGAGTTGGTTTGCTTAATTCTCATGGAATGTTTGATTCATGAATGATGCAAGCAAGACAGCGGAACTAATACTTCATATATACTATACATTGGATCCTCGGTTTCAGGGATTTTGATGAGAGAGGCGCACCTGTTGATCTTTGAATTAAGCAACAGATTGGGGATTACTTGTTCTGAATGGTCTGCTCATCATAGGGTTGAATTCCACTGGAGAGATTGCTTGATGTAGAGGGAGAGTTGCACGTGGTTTTGGCTTGTGTTACATGCATTTGAGGTTGACTTGGCCTTTTTCTCCGGGAGGACCGGCGATGCACGGCTGTGATTGCTGTAGAGTTAGAGTTGAGGCACCGCACGAGAAACACGTACGGTGGCTCTCAAAGAACTGCTCTCTCTGATTGTTTGAGGATGAAGCAGGGAGTAAGATAAGATGAGAGCCCTCATATTTGATTGCCTGTGGCTAGAAATGCCTACAGGCAAAACCTATTGTTATCAACATAGCTGGATGATCCCATATAAAATATTTGCACATAATTGCAGTTAAAGTAGAGAAGACGACACAATGTGTGAGGCGGATATCCATCCATTAGACGAAAAGACAAAAAAGGTGTAGGATTGGATAATTTGCTTTGTGATCACAAGACTCGATGCAGATGTGGAAAGAATATGACAGATTGCATTGGATGGCTTTAGAAAAGAACACAAGTGTACAGTTTTCCAAATGGTATATTTCTCGTGGCATGTTACTGCATACATGAACCATGCATCAACAGTTAAAGGCAGCCCACAACAAGTAATTGGTGATAAGTTTCCCCTAAGGAATATGATGCTTGATCTACAAGAGTTTGAACTCCTGCAATTCGTCTACATGTAGAGATTCAATTAAAAACAAAAAACTTCAATTTTATTAACATTTATAATTTCAAATATCCAGTTCCAAAAAGAGTCCCAAGTAGCTACAAAATCTAGTTCCATTACAATATCTAATACGAAATAATAAGAAGAAACTATTTTCAAGTTACCCACTTATTATTTTTATTTATCCCACATTGTTAATTTTTATATTTTATATTTCTTTCAATAGTCTCACATTGTTAGATAGCTAATTTTGAAGGCCTATAATTAGTATAAATAAAAACCTCATCTAAATTTATAAAATAATAAAAAATAATAATATCTTCAAGTATTGTGAAGGTTTCTCGACCGTAAGGAGTTAATTTTCTTCATCAAGTCCGTTTACTAGAATCCTTTCTGATAGTAATTTTTTTTTTTATTTCCATTGTACATCAGTTTGTATCGGAGGCTTGCTTTTAGTGTTAGAATAATAGGTTTATGGTTAGAAAATTAAAAGGTATATTCTATACTCGCTAGGATCTTATGTATTAAAAACTTAATTTGTTAAGTACAAGCCTATAGGCTTTCAAAATAAGGTCTAGTGGAAATAATAGCTACAATGACGAAAACGTTATCTGCGATAGCAGTGGCAATTTCGACAATGATAGGGAGGCAATTATAATAACCCGAACAATAATGATGGGGGGTGCCAACCTTATAGGCAATGTTAAAAGCACAAGAAGTGACGATGACCTAGGAACTTCGAGAGATTCATGATATGTTTGCTAATTTAGGTTTAAACGCTAATAGATTTTATGATAATGGTAGGATCAATCATGTTGGAGTTGATGCTTATGGCTAGCCTAATCATCGACATAGGCTAATAATCTAACATAAGCAACTAGCCTATGAAGATGTGTCAGATGAAGAAGAAAGAATTGTGGACTATTATAGAACCAACCAAAGAAGAGATGCAAGTGCGGCTCAACCTCGACACTTATATCATTGTGATACTATCCGTCCACAACAACCAACAGCATACGATGATGACTCAAAAGATAACAGTGAAAGATACAAAAGACACCAAGCATCACCTAAACAAAATATGCTATCTACTGGCCACCTCAATATTGAAGCTTTTTTTTTACTAGAGTTATGAAGTAGAGAACTTCTTTGAGGTGATGGATGTTCCTGATTACAAGTAAGTCAAGCTTGTTGCATATAAGTTGAAAGGAGTGGCAACAATTTGGTAGGATACATTATTGAATTTCGGATTTTGATGATGAAATCAATTGATAAATTGTTTGATCCAATCTATATATTGAGAAAAGTGTGTAGGATTAACTATGATAGCGATCAAGACATAAAGCAAAACGAAATACCAGAGTCAAGATTAAGAATTCGTTGGGAGTTCGAGAGTTCATCGGGAGTCCAGATGTTCGTTGAAAGTGCTATCAAAATTAGCCAAAAAGCTCATCGAAACTCGCCAAGAAGATCATCATGAAGTTTAAGAGCTTGTCGGGAGTTCGCTAGAAGATTACAGAGAGATTGTTGGAAATCCACCGGAAACTCGCCGGAAAAAACCTAGACTTACTGGACTTGTTTTGTTTAGTGTATGCCTTAAAACTTATAGTTAGCACATAATTAAGCTTAGGTTTAGAAGGACATCCAATTGAACCTGTTAAGGGCCAATTGGGCCCGTAATTGGATTGGTTTGAGCTGGATTCAAGGCCCAACTAGGTTGTTGAACCCTGTCTGGTGGTGGCACCACTAGATTGGGGCGATGGAACCACCAAGGGATCAGTCTCCAAGAAGCCTAGGTGGTGATACTGTCGGCAATTATTACTGTCAAGCGGTGGTACTGCCTTGTCAAGTGGTGGCACCGCCAGAGCCCAATCTTCGAGGCTTTGTCAGGCAGTAATATCGTCAGATTGGGCGGTGGTACCACCTAGTGTTAGTGCTGTAGGCAATGGTACCACCTAACACAAGCGGTGGTACCGCCAGTACCTTAGAAACCCGGGATGAGATACTTTTTAGCTTCAATTTTGAAGCCATTGGAGCCTATAAATACCCCATCCTTTTCTGCATGAAAGGGCAATCAAAGTGTGAAAAAAAATCTTTAAGTGTTGGGGTGTAAAAGTGTTGTAAAAATGCAAAGAGTCCTCCTCCTCCTCTCTCTTTAGTTTTGCAATCATCTAAGAAGAGGTGCGAGGCTTGTAAGGGTTGTCTCTTAAACTTATGAAAAGGAAAAATCTCTTTACAAGAAGATCATTAGTGGATACTGGTAGCCCCGATGGAAGAGAAATCGGGAGTGGATATAGGTTATGATAATTGAACCATTATAAAACTCAGTTTGCATATACTTTAAGCTCTTTACTTTCATTGTAAACTAATTTTTTTACTTTCACTACGCTTCCATACATTTTCAAAGTTAAGCATTTTGATATTGTTTTTATCAAAATGAAGATTTTTAGAACTGACATCATTTTTATCAAAATATTATTGACATGTATGCTCATTTTATAGATGTTGTCAATAGTTTGAAAGCTCTTTACAAATATTTTTCAAATTTTGAACTTGTTAATAATATATTAAGATCCCTTCCAAAGAGTTTGGATCTAAAAATAACCGCAATACAAGAGGTAAAGAACTTAAATAATTTTTCTCTAAAAAAACTTATTGGTTCATTGATGACATATAAAATGACATGTAAGGCACATGATGAACATAATGAATTTGAGAACAACCTTCCAAAGAATAGGAAGGATTTGACACTTAGAATAAATGAAGACTACTTAAGCGAAAGCTTAAGTGATGATGACTTTGAACTCTTAACAATAAAGAATAAAAAAATTTTAAAACAAGAATTAAAAAATAAAAATAAACTAATAAATAAGCTACCAAAGAAGAAGTAAGTATTCAAGGTGGTTTGGGACAAATCGAGCTTATCCGAAGATGAGAAGCAAACTAACAAAGACAAGGTGGCGAACTATGCCTTAATGACTTTCAATGACGAGGTAACCAAAAACCCTTTACTTTATTTTAAAATTACTTGATGCATTTCATAAGTTGGTTTTAAATTAGGTTTAAATATTATATATAAATTGTTAAAAAAATTGGGATCATGCTTATCTTTCTACCGATTTTGAAAAATAAAAAATTGAGTATGACAATGGCATATTAACTCCTATAAGTATGACGAGTTAGATTCACTTATTCATTTTAATTGAAAATGATCATTTTATAAATTTAAGTTATGATGATTTGAATTTATAAATCATTTTACTTTATGTCAAAAATGATTTTGATTGAAAATACCTTATGTTCAATGAAATCATGATGATTTAATGATGTAATAATAATTTAAAGTAATGATGATTTGAAATCATTGTTAATGAGCTTATATTTCAAAATTATGCATGATGATTTTTATGATTTATGGCTTTTGTCATAATGAAAGTTTCCTTTTCGGTTTTAAATGATGATACATATTTTTGTTTGGCATAAAAGATAAAGGCATGCTTGTATAAAATTAAATCACTTAAATTGAAACAAAAAAGGGAGAATGCATATTTCTTGAAAATATCTCTAAAGTTTTTCAATTTTTTTAACAAGTGATTCTTAGTGATGAATCTATTTTATGTTATCTCTTGAATTAAGAAAAGTGATTTTGATGATAAGTTTGGAGTTGATAAATTGAATTTGAATGAAAATTTTCTAACCAAATCATGAACTTTCTTTTGATTTCTCTGCTTGAGCTATCTTTTATGAGAATCAGAATATTTTCTATCTTTAATGGTTCCTTCTTACCATTTACTAAAGAAGAGACTTATGCAAACAAACTATGACTTTGATAATGGTTTGAAATTGTGGATGTTATATCTTGAAGACTTGAAACTATGTTTTGGTATCATGCATATCCAAATAATATTGATTTGAAAATTTATTGATTTGGTATCATGCCCAAAGTGATAATGATGATGAATTGGCATTTCCTACAAGAAAATTTTATGGATTGAGATTTATTTTTTATCCAAATCATGATATTGATTTCTCGATATTTGATACATGAGATTTTTCTATGAATCAAGATCTTGTTTTAGAACTCCCATGTTTCTTTTTGCTAATTACTAAAAAGGAGAATTATTTAAATGAATCATGATTTTTCTTGTGAATTCTTGGAATTATAACATGAGATTTTTTTTATGAATCAAGATCATTTACTATCTCACATTCTTTTTCAAAAACTTGCTAGTTTGAACATCGTAAAGAAAAGCAAATATGCTAAATTTACAAACTTGCAAAACTCAAAATTGTTGCTACCTTGCTTGCATATTTTAAAGTGATAAAATTTTGCTAGCCTACACTTTGCAAAGGGAGCAAAAACTTGCTAGCTTGCATTTCTCAAAAAAGAAGAGGAAACTTGCTATCTTGAACATCACAAAGAATTACTAGCTTACAATCTCAAGAGAAGAAAATGTGTTATCTTGCCTATCTCAAGAAGCAAAACTTGCAAACTTGAATATCTCAAAAAGGAAGCTAAATTTGCAAACTTGCACAACTTAAAATTGTGTTAGAACCCTTGCAGATTCTAAGCTTGGGGTTAATCTA